TGCAGCTGCTCCCAATGCAGGTTGGCTGCGATATTAGCTAAAGCATTTATCACAGCCAAAGAACAATGCCTAAAAAGAAAAAAGGCACAGATTGTAAGCAAAAAATTAATTTAAAAAAATCTAAAGAAAAAGCCAGAGTTTCTATTTTTTGTTTTTAAGTTTGGTATTAATGAAATTTCCAGAAAACAAACTTAAACTTGGAATTCATGCATGCTACTTTTATAGCCTTAAAATTTTGTTTTTCTCTCTTTATAATCAGAATTTTAAAAATTACAGATCATAGTCTTTGTGCATAATTTCTTTTAACCACATTTTTCCAAAAGTGTGTTCTCGCTTCTCGCTGACCCTCTGACCTGTAGCCTTGATCTCTGTAGTCTTTGGTGGCGGAGTAAACCACTGAACTGGCCTTCACACTGATTTGCTGGAAAAGGTTCCACACTTCCTGGTAGATGTATTGCTGTTAAGACACACAGAAGATGAAATGCCACGGTTGGAGTGTGCAAAAAAAAGAAAAAAGAAAAAATCAATACAGCTCAAGATTAAAAGCCAATATCCTTACATTACTTAAACAATTTCCTTTCTACATTAGCATATAAATATGTCAAAACTACATTAGGACCAAACCATGAATCTGCACCTGCTACACTGGCTGCCAAACCATCCTCAGTCCTGGGTTAATTATGGGCTCTCTAGTGACACCAGCTGCCAACAACAGCCAATTACACTCCACAGATGTGTCAGCTAGAAAACTAGAAGCTTGTACTCAATGCAAAGTGTAATGAGCAAGTAAATGCTGTGCAGTCAGGAGGCTTGGACTAATTACAGCTGCTCTGTATGGAACGGAAACAGTTTACTTTCCTGCTATTTATGGAGCAATAATGTGACAGCTTACATCTAATTAAATGTAATTTTCTCCAGTTGATTAAATACTTCATCATTTAAATACAATATGCCGTGATGGCTAATAATTTCCTCCACACCAATGCAACAGCCATCTGTAACCTTTGTGTACGTACATTTCCTGTGATG